TTTATCTGACAGATAATTGTGCCGGAGAGTACGCTAAAAGGTGATTTAATAAATGTATCTGTGCGCGCTGAGGCGTTCGCCAAGTTTACAAACGCGGCACGCGGCACGCGCAACCTCGTCAGCTGTGAATTTATGGCTTACAAATACACTTGTTGTGGTTTTTTTTGTATAATTTTTTCGTCTTTTGTATCTACAATGCCAACTAATTTCCGCTCATTAAAAATGCGCAACAGCGCTGCGTGCAAGTGCATTTGTATCTTAAAGATACGCAAAACATGCGTTCATTTATCAGAGACAGCGGCAGCGGCAGCGATTGTTAATTTATGGCGCGTGTGGGCGACAAGCTTCCTGCATGCGCGCATCCCTCAGATACATATGTATCTGCGGCTGCTGCAGCAGCAGCTGCTTGCTTTGTTCTACTCTTCTTTTCATTTCTTTTTTGCATTCTAATTAATAGTTTTTGGTTCTTCTTCTTGTTGGTTGTAAATCATGCATAAATTGAGCAGTCCTCGTTGTCGTCACCATCGATAGGCCGGGTCGAAAATTCTGTTCGTTTCATTTTAAGTTTCCGCACGCAACGCACACACACACACCGGCATATCAAATGCCGCATCTAGCTAAAATATTGTATCTTGTAGTACGTTTTGTATCTCGCTATCTTTCTTTCCTTGTCACTCGCTTATTCTTCTGCTTCGGCTGCGCTCGTCCGTGCGTTCGTGCCTCGCTTTGCTGTCGGAAATAATTTCAACTTTTGGTCGTTGAACTCTTTCTGATTTATTTATTTTATTATTTGTTTTTGTTGTTTTTTCGCTCTCAAAACATGAAAAAATGCTTCTGCTGTTGTTTGTTTTATTTTTACTTTTTTTTCTTTTTCTTATGGTTTGCAATTTTTTGCGCTGCATTAAATTTTATTGCGCATCTTTAAGCAGCTAAGTTGTAGCTTTTATGCATGAATATTGCACTTTTTGGGGTTTCATTTTAATTGTTTTCTTTTATTTGTTGCATATTTAAAACCTAGAATTATACAAAACCCAAACCGGTTGCTTAGCTTTTATACTACGACGTTTGTTAAATCAAATAATAATTTCTTTTTTTTTGTGTTTGTTTAATTTATTCATAATTGTTATTTTGTTTTGATTTATAGTTCGTTATTATTTTTTATAGCAGGCAAATTAAATTATTATTATTATTAAACACGCTTTCAATTTAATTAATCTTAATTTATAGGTTTTTATCCCAGATATTTATCCCAGGATACAATACATACTTTTAGTTTAAATTAATGTCAGGAATTTAAGGATAGATTGAATTAGTTATAAATTGGAAAGCTTTGAGGCTTAGGTGTAATTTTAATTTATAAATATTTCGAATTTAGTTTTCTTATTAATTGTTTATTTACTTTTTATTATTTATTATATGCATTAAAAAATTATATTTGATATATAATTATAACAAAATTGTTATGCTTCATTGCATACATTTATCACGATTATTTTTTGGATTTTTTTAAATATAGTTTTAATAAATTTTATATACATTTTCTATTATAAATATAAAATTAAATGTTTTTTATAGTTTTGGATTATTTTTTATATATTTTATAAATATTTATATTTTATAAAAGATTATTTTTTTAATATTTTTATATATTTTATAAAAAGTATTCTCCAAAAAATAAAAAATTCATAATATAAATTCGAAAAGTTATAAATTCCGACTAATTAGCATATCATATTTATATATATGTGTATATTACTTATCTGAAAGTTGAAGCTCTTTGAAACTTTGGAAGAGCGTGCCTGACAAAAATCGACTTTAACTTTAACTGACCTCAATTTGGTTAGTTGGCCTTCCGCTGCAATTGCCAAGAACTTCGGTCATAAAAATTTAATTTTTGTAATTTTATTTTATTTATTTTTTTTGCAAAAAGTTGCAATCTTTTGCGCTGCGGCATCTTTTAACGTTTTGCATTCGGTTTTAGATACACGAGTGTTCGGTTCCAACATCGCATACAAAACATTTAACTTTAATTATCGCTCATAAAGTCGGCAACAAGAACAGCAACAACAGCAACAACTCGACTGCAGTCATCGTCGTATTTGTTGTATTTTTCATTTTTTGTTTATTTTCCATGCTACGCGTTAATCAGCATTTGTTTTCTTTGAGTGTGCTATTGACTTGGTACAGGTTTTTCAACATTTTCCATGGGCGACCCGAGCCCCCAACAACTGCGACCAAGTGCGACCCACTGCTCCACAGTTTTCCACAGTTGCTGCAAAAAGTTTTCTGCCAGCTGTGGTTGTTGCTGTTGCTCTTTTTTGGTTTTGTTTTTTTTTTTTTTTTTGCACAGTCATGCCAGCACGCCTCAATTGTCGACACACACACACACACACACACAGATAGAGAGGGAGAGCGAGAGATATAGCTGCAGATACAGCTGCAGCTAAAGATACACACAGACACAGGCACACCAACACCAACACACTTACACTGACTGACAATGCGATATTGTGTAATCGCCCACGTTGATTTATCTTGTTTAAGTGACTCCAAAATGACGCCAACATCGACAACGACGTCGTAATAACTCGCAAATTGCATTCGATTGTTTATACCCTGTAATCTAAACACTTGTCACTTGTCACACAATGCAGAGAAAGTATCGAGTAATCGAATTGATTATCGTTTGATTGATCAGAAAGATTGATTGAAAATGTGTAGCATATTGCTCGGACTAAACTTACACACGGGCATTAATATAATATTTCGATGCAGATTTTTCATTTCATTTCATTTAACTGTCAAATGTTCCAATTGCTATGAATTTCATCAAATAACTTGAGCTGAGGCCTAACAAGCGGCAGGTTGCCGGTTCATTTACGGCAACAATTTTCAATCTGAATATCTATTTTGATATTTGTGGCATGCCGCAAGCAATCGCAAAGTGGGCCAAGCACAAAGTTTACGGATCGTAGCCTTGTTACCTCGTTTTTGGCTTTGTCTGCTGGCCAAATGTATCCTGTGTGTGTATCCACGCGAAATTCACGAATTGAATCCCTATAACTTGGCTTCTACTTAGATTTGTTGATGTTGTCAACTTTTATGCTGACATATGCCAGCCATGGCATGCCCCAACTTAGGCTAAGCGTGAAATTTACGGTTCGAAGCGCTGTTACTTGGCTTTTAGCTTAATAACAAAAAGTATCCTTTCCTTTTTACATTTACAGCGCATCTTGTGGGTCGTAATGCTATTTTTTCGCTCACATATTTAACATGCAGTTTAAGTTACTGTTTGGCTGTCGCTTCTGCTTCTGCTTCTGCTGCTACTCGTGTATATTTAGTCGTGCCGCATTTTGGCTTAATGTTATGTTTGCAATTTTTGGCATTGTTTTCATAGCAGTTGCATTGTTTGGCAAGCCCCCAACTTGAATTCAACTTGTAGTCTCTTTTTTTTGTCAACATGCAGCTGCACAAAAAGTTGACAATTCTTTCTGTTTGTTTTTGTTGCTAAGTTCAAACTTTACTTTGAGATAAGTTTAAATGTTGTGGTCATGATCATGACTTATGTGCGAATTGCACGACATAGAAAAATAGAGAGAATATTTATACTGTCCATATATATATTTTTTTTGTTAATGAAATCTTGGCATAATTATGTTGTTCTTAGTTTCCTTATATGTCATATTTTAAGAGTTATCTTTTACGGCTCAACATTTTATTTGTCTTTAGTGCAGCCCCATCATGATAGCTAATAATAATAATTATTAATAATAATAATAATAATTATTATTATTAATAATAATAATAATAATAATAATAATAATAATAATAAAATAATAAAAATAATAATAATAATAATAATAGTTATAATAATAATAATAATAATAATAATAATAATAATAATAATAATAATAATTATAATAATAATAATAATTATAATAATAATAATAATAATAATAATAATAACAATAATAATAATAATAATAATAATAATAATAACAATAATAATAATAATAATAATAAAAATAATTATAATAATAATAATAATAGATAATGTTGTGACTTTTCAGGGTTGGATCTTATAAAAAAGCTAGCTAAATGATATAACATATATTATTATTATTAAATTATAATTCTTATATTATTATATTATTATTATTATTATTATTATATTATTATATATTTTTATATTATGTAAAAAAATATCACAAATTGTTATTATTGTTTTAAATTTTACTATTTATAAATATAATATATTATATTGCAAAATATATATTTATATTTTATTATAATTTTTAAAATATTCATTATTTGTTTCTTTTATTTTTTAGAAATACATTATAATATTTCATAATTTTCTTATATTATTTCGTTATATATTTATATTTAATAATATTCCTGTTAAATTGTTTTAAAGTTTATTATCGATTTTGCACATTGTTTTAGTATATAAACGAATCTGTTTAATTTTTTAAATAAATAGTACCCTTTATTTCCACTGAGATATTATCTTACACTCTCAAGTTAGTTAATTTCGTAAAATTCGTGTAAATTTTTTATCTTTTTCTCAATATCTATGTGTCACATTGTTGATGCTTCGCGTTCTTTTACAATGTGTTTCCCTATCTATCTTTCCCAACTCTCACTCTTTATTTACCCATTCGTGTCTCTTTTTATCTCCTTTTCTTTTTGGGCACATATCACTCTCTCAACTTGCGCCTACTTTATTCATTTGCCATCTCTCCTGCTCTGGCGCAGATCTAGCATGTCATAACAATTGACTCGTGCATAAACCGTTTGGGAATTCTAAGCGAAAATCAAAAACTTATTCGAGAGTCATTGTTTTGTTCTAACTATGTGAAGAAGACGTCATTTATTACGCACTTTACACGAAATGTGCACTAAATGGATCTCTTAAGAGCGCTAACTAATTCATCTGACTATTTACATTTAAGAGCTAAACCCTTGTGTATTTGTAGCTTTAAAAGACATTAACTCACCTGTCTGATGACTCTGATGAATCGTAGCGATCCAAGCAGCGTTTCTTTATGCTGTTGCCATTCCCGCGTGCTCCTCTATCTGCTCTGGCAGTTGTTGTTATTGTTGTTGTTCCCGTGCGTGTTGCTAATGTTGTTGTATTTGCTTTTGTTGTTGTTGTCGTTGTTGTTGTTGTTGTTGCAGTCTTTCTGGCGCCCTGATAGAGCTGAGATCGCAATGCGTTGATATCCAATTTAGCAGCTGCTGCTGCTGCTGCCAAAGAGCTTGTTGTTGTTTTTGTGGCCTTTGTTGTTGGTGTTGTTGCTTTTGTTGTTGTTGCAGTTGTTGTTGTTGTTGCAGTTGTTGCTGCTGCTTCCCTGCCCCTTTTGGTGCCCTGCACAATGCCAAGCAGCAGCCGCGTGGGCGTGCTAAAGGACCCCTTGGGCGGTTGGGGCGGCGGCTTCAGTTCAATATTTGTGACTGTTGGAGCAGCGGGCGGCGCAAAGGGGCACGGGGACGTGTTGGTGCTGGCGACAGTGCCTGTCAAACTGTTCAAATTGACGCCGTTTTTCAGCTGATCAAACAATGACAAAGCCGTGCTCGAAGTTAAAGTTTTCTTGGCAATTGTTGACGCTGCCTTTGCTGCTGCTGCTGCTGCTCCTGCTGTTGCCTCTGCTGTTTCTGTTGTTGTTGATGTTGTTGTTGTGGGCGTTGCTGTTGTTGTTATGGGCGTGCCAGTTGCTGCCTCATTAGCCGTTTCTTTAGTCTTTGTCGCAGTGTCCTTCGACTGCGTGCCTGACATTTTCTTTGCTTTGCTTTTTGTTGTTTGTTTGTTTGTTTTGTTTTTTTTTTTTTTTACTTATTTCTTTTTCAATTTGTTTTCTTTATGCACTTTTGTGTTTTCTCTGCCTTTTGTTGTTTATTTTCGTTGTTGCAACTGTTTGGCAACGTTCTTTTTAATTGCTTTACGCTGTTGCTTTTGTTGTTGTTGCCATTTTTTTTTTTCAATTCACTTTGCGCTCTTTTTTTCCTATTGCTTTAAGCTCCTTTTCGCATTTGTTTTGTTCAAATTCTTTAACTTTTACTTAGTTTTTGTCTCACATTTCTTAGTTTTAGTTTTATGTTCTTTTCTTCTTTATGCGAATTGGATTGTTTTCTTAGTTTTCAGTTCTTGAGACTATTGAAAATGAAAGTAGATTTAGGGCATATTTTTAAAAACTCAGGAAATGCATTTCTTAAAGACTCTCATATAGTTCTTCATGTGGCTTTAATTAAAATTGTAGTACTACGATACTTTATAATTCAGTACGATTATTTTTCAATATTTCCCCCTATTTCAAATCGCATTATCGTTTATTAAAACGTTCCGATTCCCGATCTCATGTTTACTTGCATTTCATTTAAACTTCCGTAAGGAGATTATTATTTAATAGATGCTTTGGCAAATATAATTTAGGCTCTTGTATACCCCGAAACTACAAACAAAATAATCATGGATCAACTCTTCAGCCAATTTTGGGTAGAGTTAAAATTGATCCCATGACTTCTCTATCAAATTTTGCATTAAACAATTAAATTGATTCCGAAGCTCAAGGCAGAAAGTCTCTACGAGCCCCTTTTTCAATGTTGCAGCCCTGGAACATAGAGAAACAATCTAAAACTGAAGCTCCATTTGAATTTATCAATGTTTATTTCTCTGCTTCTTGTTGGAGTGCTCTTTAAATTGCTTAAAAATAATGACAATAGAACAAACTATCTAAAATTGAGGCTGCTTTTGAATTTATCTCTGAATATTTCCCTGTTTCTTGTTCGAATTATATTCAAAAATCTATACAAATTATTGAAAAAATTATATAAATATTATATACATAATTGTTTTAACATTTCGCACACTAGGCACGCTTTACTGTAACGCCATGCCTACGGAAAGTTCACAATTTCAAACGTTGCAAAAAATATTGCTCCAAATTGTACAAATTATTTATTATTATTATTATTATTATTGCACTTTACTCAAATTACAGCCGTCGCTTTTGTTTTTTTTTTTTGCGAAAATTAAACACGAATTTGCTGCAAAATCATTTTTTTGGGCACTTTTTTTCGTTGTATTTTTTCTTCAGCTTTTTTCTGTGACACAATTTTATAATAACATTTGCATTTGGTCAGCACTTTTTTTCTTTTGATTAATCAATTTTTCAAATCCACAATTGAAGACTTCGATTGTATTATTCATAGTAATTTGGTGAATGTATTTAATTTGCATTATGAATGGCAGCTAATTTTCTTCTTATGAGTTTAATTCGTTTCCGGCGCCTTTTTGTTGTTGCCTGTTGTGCATTTGCAGTGCACAAACAAAGCCAAAAATAATACTAAAAAACTTTTTTGCAAGCTTTGCAAACAGTTAACCGGTTCTCGCGTCTCTTGAGCTTTGTGTTTTTTTTTTTTTTGTTTGTAGAAACGGCAAACCCGAAACAGAAACAGAAACAGAAACAGAGGAAACAAAGTCACAAATCTGGCATTTGTTTAACAACAAAGCCAAACAATTCTAATCAAATGCATTCCAATACACGCACACAAACACTTAAACTCTACCCCCCTCTCACTCTCTCTCTCTCTTTCTCGCTCGCTCTTTCGCACATGTGACGTTATCAATGCTGCATTCGCCGGGGCCGCGTTGTCTATTAATAATCAAAAAGCACTCACAATTTTCGTTTTCGTTTTTGCATTCGCTGCAGTTGTTGCTTTAATTGCCATGTAAAAAATGTCAACTCGAACTGTTAATTGCGAGCAAAATATTTGCTCAAAAAACTGCACACCGACTCTCACTACCGCGTTGCTTTGGCTGCTGGCCTCTGCCTGCGACTGACTGTCGCGACGAGCGCCGCATTGGTGTGGGGCCGACTGAGCGCCACACGAAGAGCTTTAGCCAACTAGAACCGAGCAGACAGCAAGAAACGAGCGAAATCAACAAGAACGAACATGCGAACGAGCAACGACCGCAACTTCGTGTCAACTCACGAGCGCCAAAACGCTAGACGACGACGACGACGACGCCAACAATGAGTTTTTTTTTTTTTGTTCGCCGAGTGGCGAATCGGCCGAGTTAGACGAAGGGGGGGAGCGAAGCACGCAAACGTTGCCAATATGCAAGCGATGCGATGTTCACTTTTGATTTCTGTGCAGCGGCAGCAGGTTTGGCATACTCTGTGCGAGCCTAGGGACGTGCGGGCGGAGTGCGGGGTAGCTGAAGGTGGGGTCTATAGGGAAGCCGGTTGTGCGGCTGTGCGGCTGTTGCTTGTTGCGCCACAAGTCCACACGCTTTTTGTTTTTTTTTTTTAATATTTTGTTTTTTATTGGCTCTAAAGAGAAGTTCAATATTTTATTACTTTGTGTCTAAGCAGCAGATTTTCAACGATTGTCAACCGAGTGGGTGGGGAAAAGTAACTGCACAAACATGTTGTATGCTCATAATATTTGTTACCTGTTGATATGCGTGAGAAATAGAGTTTCATTAAGAAATAGTCGGGAAAAGAACTGGAACAGGTTCCAGCGTGAACTATGTAACATATGTTATTATAAAGACATAGAAGAACGCACACAGTTAACAAACTGATCTTGTTTTACGTAATATGTATGTATGTATGTATATTATGTGTGCTTTGTATGCATGTATGTGTGCAACTATGTATGTAAGGCTTCCTTACGGGAATAGCGTATGTAAAACTTCGCTTGCAAATTTAAACGCTTTGGCTTTAATTGCGAGTCTAATGTGTTAGAAAATACTTTTTTGTGTCCCTTATTTGTTCGCAACACGCTTATCTGCTTTTTAACATAATCTCATGCTACTTAATTTCACGCTTTTGCTGCTACATACATACATACATGCATACATACATACATACATGCATACGTCCATAAGCACTAAAATATATGCATATGTACATACATATGTAGGTATTAAAATTCACACACATACATGTACATAAGCATACAAATTTTCGTTTCCCTTTCCGCTGCTACAACCTTACGTAGTTTTGTATTTTATTTCCAATTTGTTTTCTCTTAAACTTTTCACATTTTACACTTCTTACTTTGCGACTTCTCTCTCACATTCCAGGCATACTTTTTTATATAAATATCCTCTTCCATATCATATTTAACATTTCTTCTTCTATCTTTATTCCAAGTTAACTGTTTGCTTTAATTATTCAACACTGATCCTTGCAATTGATTGAATGCAGACACGAAACTTTAAGTACCGTTAAGTACGTAAATTGTTAAGCACACGCACACGCACACACACACACACATGTTTAATCGCCAGCTGGGCCCCAACTTGCCAAACATTCCGAGCGCATTAGCAAATCGGCGACTTATAGAGCACCCAATGCAGCAGCAGTAGCACTTCCTTAATCATGCACTAACAAACGTGGCCCACGCTTTTTAGTTGCAGCTTCCTTTGCCCACGCAAATTCGTTTCAATAATTAAGAAAAGTCAATTCAAACGCAAACGCAAACAATAACAAAAAAAAACATCGAGCAACAGCGGGAACGAGAGCGACAACGCCAGCGAGAGCACACAAATACATGTAGAGTCACCGTTGTTATCAAACACCCACACACACACTCGCTTCATCATTCACCAACACAACAAATCACGTCATGAATACAAAATGTACATACACATAAAAACCAAAAGAAAAACGTAAAGAAAAGGCAACAAAGTCAACAGTAACAACACAACAAAATCAAAGCCAACACGTGCTTTTATTACGTTAACGTATACGACGAGCTGTGTGTGCATGTGTGTGTGTGCGACTGCTGCTCTGTCGGCCTTTTGTGATGCAACTGTTCTGGCAGAGAGCGTGCATGCTAGAGTATGAGAGAGAGCAAGAGCGCACCATACGTTGGTATGTGTTAGCAGCAGAACTTGTTTGCTAGATTTGCCGTTGTTTTTGTAATCGTTTGACTTTGCGTCTTGTGCTATTTTTTTCAGCACCCCAAAAAAAAAAAACAAAACTAATAGAAGAAAACGGCTCTTGTGCCAAGTGCAGAAAATTACACAGGACTCATAATGTTGCGCGACACTTTTACACAAATTGCAGTTGCTATTGTTGCGGTACTTTGTAACTTTTCCAATTTCCAACTCATTTTACACACACACGCACGCATGCACACGTTACGGCACATGACGCGACTGCACTGAACGAGCAAAGAAAACGCACTGCATTAGCAAATCTAAAATTGCAATGGCTACGCAATTGATGGCGAATGAAAGAGAAAGAGTAAGCGTTACATTTTTGAGTGTGAAGCGTCTCGAGTAAAACAATTTTTTTTTTGCTCTTTTTCTTTGAGCTGATTGGAAAGCATTGGAATTTAAGAGATTTGACTTTGATGTTTAGCATTGGAAGGTTTTTACCTTAAAATTTTGCTGATCTTGCAAGAAGCAGTATATTTTTTACTAAATAAAAGTAATTGTATATAATCTTGCTTAATAAGAAAATACGGGTAGACACTAGCAATTGGTCCGTATCCAGAGAAATAGAAGACATTGTAAGATATCAGGTTAAAAATATTTTTAAAAAACCTGACAAATACACTACGTACTAAAAAATATATAACATAAAATTAAATTGGAAACGATCTTAGCTTTACAAAGCTTTCATCAAATTTACAATTTCCAATTTAAAATTTAAAAAAATAAAAATGCAGAACAAATTTGTTTGTTCAAATATTCAAAAAAAAAACACCAAGCCAATTTTTTACAAATACAAAAGTCAATACAAAATCAATCAAAAAATCATATAGTAAAAAAAATAAGGAACAATGCTTTCGACAAGAGGCGCAAAATAGAAATGAACCCGTTCCCTGTAAAACGGGAGCTTATAAGGCCCACCTAATAACAGAAATGCTAACTTTACAGAGTTGTGCAGTAAGGTAACATTAAAAATGTCTTAACATAATGTCCAACTTAACAGAAAACTGCACTGCCTAACAGAACTTGTTACATAGCTCACTGTTCAGACTGTCTCGCAGCAGACAGCTAGCAATCGAGCTACAGCAGCGAGCTTTTAAGAGCGCTTGGGAATTTTTGCGCAAAGATCATTTAAGAGGGATTTTTTTTTTAGCTCTTACGGTATAATTTAGCGCTTTTCATTAAATTTTTAAACAAACCTTAACTTAATTCGTACTTTACATCACTTTTATGGAATTTTATTAAAAAATATAATTGCGCTTTAGTTTGTCTAGAATACTGTTTTTAAAATTACAAACATTAACAATAAAATCTTAATCGTAATAGGGGGACGTCGATATACCGTAAAATAAATTAGCTAGCTGTAAGACAAACAGAAAATAGCTTATAGATTTTTTTAACTACTACACAAAATATATTTATAAATATGTACAATCTTTATAGTTTTACTTGACTTGGCAAACAGCAACTTGATAAGTTTAAGCGCATTTGGTGGGTTGCATAATTAGAAAACTAAGCTAAACAGTCAACATAGTTTTTGTCGCGACTGTACCTACACCAGTATTTTTATTTTCGTTTCTTTTGCTGGCTAAGCTTAAACTAGTTACGTCTTAAAGACTTTTGGCAGACTATGTCCATACAGAGGTAGGTATGAGGCCCTCCTTGCTGGTGCCGGGCGGCGTCAGGACTTCCTTGTTGAGGAAATCCAGCGGCAGATTAACCAGATGACCCTGAAATAAGTTAAGATTAAAGATAGAATATGCTAGGATTCAAGAAATTAAGCGAAAATAATTAAATATATAGAATATTAATAATATATAATAAATAATAAATTAAATAAATATTAAAGTTGATAGAAAATATATTATATTAAAATAGTATTAATAATAATAATCATAATGATAATGTATAATAAATAATAATATAAAAAATAAATAGTACAAATTGAACTTAAAAAGATGGAAACAATTTAATATGTACTTTAAGTATACTATATTAAAATAATAATAATAAGATTTATAATATTTAATAAATAAAAAAATTGTAAAAGTTGAACTTAAAAATATTGGGAAAATGTAATATATACCCATAGAAAGTATATTATATTAAATAATAATAATAATAATAATAATAATAATATATAATAAATAAAAATAATTATTAAAGTTAAACTTAAGATCTATTCTAACTTGGAAAATTTTAACAGAACCGGAAATTGTGAAATTTCAATTGAAACTAAAACAGTTTGTTCTATTTTCCTAATATTTATAAATATGTTTCCAATTAATCAAATTAAATTAAATTGCCTGGAAATTCAAATATTTTTAATATTTTAAAATTCATTGAAATATAATAAAAAAAATAAAAACGTTGCATCTAAATGCTTCTAAAGGTTTTATCAATACAAATGCCGTTATTTAAATCTTAAACATTCTGCTCAAAGGTGTTAAACGCACCTGAATTTCTGTGGCACGCTTGGCGGCCAATTCGGGTTCTGTTTTTGACAGCGGCGGCTCCTCCTGATATTTGCGCAGACTGGCAAATGTCTTGACAAAATCCGTGGGTATGCACTTGAATACCTCGTCGTAGATTTCCGTATTTCTGGTGGATATGCGACGCCAGGTTTTATGCCAGAACTGATCGCAGACCGGATCGCTAATGTTTAGTTCACAGCGCGCCGCACTATCCAGATCCAATAGACCTGCAAGAGCAAGAGTAAGGAATTTGACGGCAATTGGGAGTTGAAGACCTACCCAAATGTTCCTTGAACAGATATTTGCGCAATCTGCCGGCAAAGATACCGCTCGGATACTTTTTGCCATTCATGCGCCCATCCTCGTACTCCTCGTCCATGATAATGGCCGCAATTTCCGAATCCCGTTTGCCGATCATCGAACGATCGTTGATATTCGCCGAACCGCAAATGACAACACGATCATCGGCGATTAGCAGCTTGGAATGCACATAGATCAGTTCCGTAATCGGCGTATTGTTCAGATACGAATGATTGCGCAGACTGTGAAAGGATATATAGTTCTCCGGCTTGGCGATGCCCGCTTCCTGAAGGCGTGTCAGGATAGCTGTGCGACCTCTGAAAAGGGTATAGAGAGAGAGAGAGTAAAGAGTTGTAAAGCAATATAATAATAGGAATATAATAGAAGGGTAATATTTTCTTACAAATTTCATAGGAATAAATGCTTTAAAGTAAGAATTTAAAATATCCAGAAATACAGATCTTAAAAGCTATTCGAAATTTCTAGATACCAGATCTTAAAAATACTATAGGAAGAAAATAAAGAAACGCTTTAAATATTCCTTGGGAACAATGGCTAAAATAAGAATTCAAAATATCCAGAAATACGGATCTTAAAAACTATTCGAAATTTCTAAATACCAGATCTTAAAATTGCATAGGAAGAAAAGAAAGAAACGCTTTAAAGAGGAAGTCATATATTAAAAGCGAACGTTCTATGATTTAGTTCAGATCAAAGCAGGATATATTTTTGACACGTGACTCAACTGCTTGTCTTTAGCATAAGTGAGGTTAGGCACGCACCTGGATATGGACGCATAGTTCCAATGGGTGATCGCACGGACAGCAATGCCCGTATTGCCGCCGACATCGCCCTCAAAGCCCGGCAATAAGGGCATTATCACATAAACACGAAAGCGCTTGCGTTCCCTGCAAGAAAAATTGGATAAAAATGAAAAGAATTAGTTGGGAATTAGTGGAGCTCCTATGGACTAAACGTACTTGTGGGCGCGCACGATGCGCTTGAAGAGGGTTTCGCCAATCTGATTTCGGACATTGTTGCAGGCAGCGGAAACGCCCATGCCCAGCTGCATGGTGATAAAAAACTGATTCTCAATGTAGATATAGTGCTGGGCCTTTGTTATCGTCTCGATGTAGGCATCGTGTATGCTCTGCTCGACGAGATCCGCCTCGATGAAGCCACAGCTCCAGGCAGAGACGCTGCGCAGCAGCTGGCAGGTGACGCGTTGCTGTCGTCGCTGCTGCAGCTGCTGCAGCTGGGCATTGAGCCGTATCTGGTGATAGCTCTTGGGCATCAGGTACGGAAAGCGGACATTATCGCGCAGCTTTTCCAGCTTCATGGCGTTCCAGCGCTGGATGAAATGCCGTGCCACATCCCGTGCCGAGGCGCCGACCACACAGAGGCCGACATCGTGCCAGGGCATGCGGGGCGTGGTCGTGCGATCGATGATATCGACAAAGGGCGCATTCAGGTTCATCCAATCCTTGAGTATGAAATTGGAGTAGTCCTTGCCAAACCAATACTTGGCCTGGCCATAGAACTCGCTGAGTATTTGTGTGTTGGCTGCCGTCGCATTGGCAGCCGCCGCCGAACTGGAGCATTGTGCCACATCCGCGGGGTCAACTGTTTCTGCTGCTGCTTCGCCAGCTCCAGCTGCTGCTGTTTCGTTGGCAACCGTCTCCGCCTCGGCCGGCTCCAGCGTATTGTCCGGCGTCTCGCCGGTCGCTAGACGCTGCATGAAGTCCTTGCCCTTGCGTGCGCCCTTCATTGCATTATTCTTGAGCCGATCCAGCATATTCTTGCGCTCCATCTCGGGCGTATTCAGTTTCATGCCCTCCAGCGCCGTTGAGTCAATGGCCAGCTCACTGGACGCTGCGGATAGCAGCTCCGGGATGAGCAGCCGATCGCCGGGTTTCAGCGTGCGCAGCTCCACGCCAGACGTCAGATTCTGCGTGGGCTCCTCGCTGGCAGGCGAGACGCTCTCGGGCTCCTTGGCCTTGGACTCGTAGTGTGCATTGCGTGAGGATTTCCGCGAGCCAAAGGCCGAGTCCACCTCGTCCTTGTTGAAGTGCGCGCTCGGCGTGCAGCGCGCGCTGCCCGACACGGAGGCTGCCGAAATGCTGCCCAGGTCGGTTAGACGATGCGCCCGATCGTCCCAGCGACCATAGCACAGATCTATGCCGCCTATAAATGCATATGACTGATCGATTACCACAATTTTCTCGTGATGCGCCCACAGCAAAATGCCAGCGCGTGCGTGATCCGGATGCCGCATGACCTAAAAGACAAAAGTACATTAATATTGCAACTATAAATGCAACTCTAAATAAGTTAAACTAAAATTGTAACATTTTACACAATAGTCACTTCTAACGATATTTCACGTTTTACCGAATTTCACCTGCAGCCGTGAAAAACGCGTGAAAACATATTTTTTTTTTAACCTGTTGCTTTACTCGATTGACTTTCAAGACATTCTCAAATATTTAAGCAACAATTTTTAGCTATAAAAATCGGTTGGTTTCTGCCTGCGGAAAATGGGGGGAAAGCCAATTTAAGAATTTTTAACGAATCAAGATCTCGCTTATTATGGTTGTTTCAGTGACACATTTTTCGTGAACGAAAGAAGGCCGTGAAGATCAAGGATCTATGGGAGAGTTTCACGCTTTTTTGTTAAACCAAAACCCAGGTCACACTTTCGATCGGAATAAGAGTGAAAAAAATGTGATAAGTAAACTTAGTCAAAGATATTATCGAATACATATTTTAGTCGTGCTTGAACGATTTTGAAAACTTAAAAACCAAATTCACCTTCGTAGGTGGAAAACGCGCGTATGCTTCGAATTGGAAAAAGAAAATACTTTCACATACAATCCCAAATTCACGCTTACGATTGGAATATGGCGGAAAGACTCTTATCAATTTAAAGTCAGCTATTGACGAATATGAACTTAAAAAAACTGAACAAATCCACCTACGCAGGCGGAAAAAGCGCGTATACGTGGAATTTAAAGAAAAATACTTGCAACGCTTCGAGCTCTGTCTTATTAGGTAGTCTATAACGGACTTACCTTAATGTTCTCATGCTTGGCCAACGTGGATTTGCTGTAGTAGCTGTTGATGCCCAGCGCCATTTCCACCTCCTTGTAGAGCAGCACAAATACGCGCACACCCTGCTTGGCCTTGCGCAGCAATATCTTATCGAGCCGCCAGTAGTCGCCATCCAGAGCGGGACGTTTCATATAGATCTCCGGACTGAGCCACCAATCGGCTATGTAGATCTCCTCCGTGGCGGCCTCGAGGCCATCCGCAACGGCGGCCATGTACTGGGCGCCATCCACATACCAGACGGCCTGGGTATTGGCACGCATGGGGGCATACGACATGTGCGGATTGGGGCAGGTAAAGTCGCGGGCATATGTGTGCGCCGTATTCTTGAGGTACTGCATCCATTCCTTGCACTTGCGCCGTGTCCAGCACTTCAGTACAATGTGGCGGCTGTTCGTGAGGACCTGCAGGCCCTTGCGCATGCCCGTCTGGTAGATGCCCGTGGAGACATCGAAGCCCTGATCGAACAGTATCACGGCGCGTATGCTGCCATCTGTGGGTCGCACATAGCCGAAGCATGTCTCCTTCACAAAGAACCAGCGATTGCGCCACGTGCCGCACACCACATCCGAGCAGAAGTAGTTGCATCTCACACAGCAATTGCGCTGAAAGCAGCCAAAGAAATTGCAACCCGCCTGGCCGGGACGTGTCGAGCCGGTGCGCTTCAGTATGACACCCTCCTTGCCCTTGATGCCCAGATTGGAGACAAACGACACGTTCGAGACCTCCACAAAGTTCAGCTGCAAGGTGAGAGCAAAGCGAATTTAAGCTGACAAGTTTTTTATAATACGAAAAGGTACATATTGAATGGTCCAAAATTAGGCAACACTCCAGATAGAATCTTATGAAGTTTGGGTGAGCCTAGCTATCATAGTTAAAGAGTCGCTCTCAATAAACCTTATAAAATAAAGTCTATTTATTATCTAGTCTATTAAGATTCAGTTAGACTTTTCTTTACTAATTCCTCCCCACCGACTGAGTGGAGGTTAGTTTTAGAATACTTATGTATCATTGACTCTATTTCCATGATATTTTGCTAACTTTGACAGCGATCCTATCGTAACCTTATCTAACCAAACCCAACTTCGCCTATCCTAACCTCGTCTAACTCTACCTAAGCTCATTCGTAGCTTCTAAACATAACCAACTCTTCATCTATATAGACTTAAAGATACTTAAGCGCTTGAACTATCCATATTTTTTCTCTCTTCAATAATGGTTTCGATACTTCCCAAACTAGTCAAGATTTTTATTCTATATACAGGCTCAAAGATAAACCCCCTAAATATACCATAATTTCTTTCTCATTAACATGAATTATTCTTTCTTTTGATCAGATTCTATATAAGTATACCAATCCGATGCCAATCAATAAAAGCTAAACTTAAACTTGTACAAATATTCTACAAGTCGCGAGTACTATTCTATATATTCCCAAAGATTAATCCATCAATATCCCACACTTGCTCACGCTCACAAATACCACACATTCTATATACAATATCATATAGTTCCACTCACCGTCTCATGATGGTATCGATATAAGCTAATGTTAAGCAGATTATATAGATAATCCTCCAGCTGTTTGATCCGCACTGGCAGATGCTCCACGGTGATTAAACTTTCGGGACGATTTGGAAAACGCGGCAGTTTCCGTTTCTTTTTCTTGCGTTTCCGCTGACTGCGCCGAGGCGTCAGACTGGACAGAATGGAGCTATGTGTGGGACTTATGATGGAAACAGCTCCTTCATTGTTGTTGTTGTTGTTGTTGTTGTTATTGTTGTTATTGGTGCGATTTTGTGCACTATTTATGGGCGTGCTGGAATGCTTGACTTTGGTATGGGCAGGCAGATCCTTCAGCGTGGACTCATCGGCCATTTGACTGGCGGCGGCTTTCAAGGTCGTGCGCTTCTCCTTATGCGCGCGACTAGGAAACGGAATATTCAACGAGGTGCGAAAGAAGCTGAGTTGTTGGTGCAGGGAATTGAAGTGCTTGTAGCGCCGTTTAATGGTCCACTTGAAGGGACCATGGGTCAGCTCTATGGTGTACCTGGAAGACGAACGGATCATGAACGACAATTTCCGAATGATAATTCTTCAACAAATGGCTTTCAAGAAGATCAAATCAAGAACAGAAAGTAGCTTTCCCTTTCACTTTCCTACTCTATAGTAGACAATTACAAATTCACGCGTTAGGGTGGATTTTCCGAAAAGTGTGATTTGAATGAATCAAGGAATTTTGGGATAGATTTCTAAAAGTAAGCTTAAAGAAGCCTGTAAAAGGCATTTTCTGAAATGCTGTCAAGAGTTTAGTTTAGCAGCGATCAAGTCAGTCAGTCAGTCAGTCAGTCAATCAGTCAATCACTTATTTATAAGGCCACTTACAAGTTGGGATTAAGTAGATGTGTCGTGACACTCCGCTCCGTGTCCACAATTCGCACATGTATCTCGCGTCCTGGTATAAAGACCTTGCGCTGAAACGAATTGAACTTCACACTGGCTCCATAGATGCTGGTA